GAGAAAAGATGGCGCCCAGCGCAAGGCCTCTCGGGAACCGGCTTAACTCTCTTGGGCGGGACCTTCTCAGTCTTGCCAGCACTGTTCTCCCGGGGCGGCACCGGACAAGGGCTACCTGGAAGGCGCTCATCTTGGTTCTGGGGAGAGTTTGAGTGTGCCTGGGACAGAGGCACAGGCAGGTATGGCTGTAAACTTAACTCCCAGCCCCGTTCAAGCCGTGCGCTGGCTGCGTGGCTGGGTGGCTGGGTGCTGGCTGGGTGGCGAAAGGCAGGTCGCGTCTCTCTGTTCGGTCCTGAAAGAGAGGTAGCTGCATCTCAGTCCCCTTAACGTGCCACCTGACTCGAGGACCCTGCAAGTCAAAGCATATACTGGGTGACGACGGCTCCACGCCCAGGTCAGGCTGGGCTTTTTTGCCAGCTTCTTGCCAGAAAGGATTTGGGTCTCATTGATCCACCCGTAAATACGGGCTTGTGTTGAAGTTTGCTCCCATGCCAATTTAAGTACATTTCTTAATTTTGCTACTGGTACAGAATAGATGCTTAATAAAACTTGGTTAAAAGAATGAATGAATGAATGAATACACCAAACCGGGTCTGTGACTTTAGATTTGGGCATGGATTCTTGTTGGGGTTCTGGGCAGGGGGATGGGGGGGTGGGACGTGAATCTGGGCCACACCAGGTCCTGGATTGCTGGAGGTCTGATTGCTGGAGGCTGTCCGGATGTGCATTCCAGGTGGATGGGGAGGTGAAATGTGAACTCAGATGGACAGAACTCAGGAGTCTCCAGGCTGGAGGAGGTTTTATTTGGTTGGATGTGGCCCTCTGTTGAAATCCCACCCTCCACAGACTCTCAGGTTTGGGTCCCGTTGTGGGTGACCACGGCAGGCCCCCGCTCATGGTCAACCCAGAGGCCCGGCCGGTGTGGTGTTTTATCCTTCGCTCCAGATGCTATAGGTATCCCGTAGCCACCTCTCCCTCCTCCCTTCCCCACCTCCCATCTAGCTGAACCTGAGAGGTGTTGTCCAAGTCACAAGAACCAGATACCACATACTTCATTAGTCTAGAAGCCTTTATTTGGAGAGGGATGCTTGTGGAGCTGGCCACAGCTCCTGTGCTGTACAGAGGCAGAGTTATTAAAACAGCCTCCCCTGAATTAGGAAGGGAGTGTAGACTCTCCTCTGCCAATGCTAGTTATGCCAGAGGCCAAAGCACCAAAGCTTGGTGGAGAAGGTGCATGCTGCATGGGAGAAGGCGTTCGCTCGTCTTAAGGCCACATACGAGTGAGGGCGGGGAGGTGAGTGGGGTTTAGAAGCTGAGTGGGCACATGAGGCTTAGTAGAAGTGGAAACCTGAATCTTGTATCTCGTCCCTTGATCCTCTGTCTACTGTGGTATGACCTTGAGGCAATGGTTGCTCCTCCCTGGGCCTGTTTCCTCATCTGTAGAATGGGGCAGTAGTGTCTGCCTGGAGAGGAGACGGTTACTGCTGACCCCAGGCCACCTGCTTCTACCGCTCAGGCCAAATGAGGCAGGCCGGGCACTGCCGAAAGTTGTCAGCAGGCTCTAGAGAGATCCTGGAATTTGCTAAGTGAGGGGTGAGAGGAAGAGGACAGGGTTTAGTCTCAGGTTTTCATAGGATTTGTCCAAGGCCAGGGGCCAGCCAGCGTCTGTCTTCCTGTAGGCTGCAGGAAGAGAGGCAGACCTGGAGGGATGACAAGGATGGGCTAAGTCTGGGCGTCTCTCACCTCCCTGGGGCAGGTGTGCGTGTGTGTGTGTGTGTGTGTGTGTGTGTGTGCAGCTGCTGTTGCTTCTCCACGGCTAGAGTCTTGGGACAGGATTGGGGCCTTTGGGCTGAACTAACAGCAAAAGGGGCCAGCGGCCCCCCCAAGATACTTTCTTTTGTGGCCCTCAAGCCAGGATGCCTTAATGTCAAATGGCCCTGCCACTCTGGAACAGACCTGAGGCCTCCGAGTGAGCCAGGCCAGAATTGGGGCAGGGCTATAGGAAGAGAGGCACTATTTGAAGTGGGACAGGAAGTGGGCAACAGGGTAGTGGGGCCCATCGATGCCCAGACCCTGGCAGAGGCCCAGCAGGCGGAGACGAGCCTCAGCCAGGCTGGGCCCAGCACAAGCCACACTGCAGTAGGGCTCCTCGTATTCACCAGGCACCAGGACCTCCTCCAGCAAATTGAAGCGCAGCAGGCCTTGGTCATGAAGAGCCTGCAGGGTCTCACGGCTGGCGGTGGAACTCAGAGTCTGAAGGTGCTGGGAAGCCAGGCACATGACGCCCACCAGGTGGCCACGGGCGCGTGGGTGGCTGGGCAAGGCAGGCCGCAGGCCACAGGCCACCATAGCTGCAGCCAGCAGCAGGTCCACACCATAGAGCTCCAGGATCCAGTCTCTCAGGTAGAAGCCACCCATCCGAGGGTTGATCTCGATGAGTTTCGGCCCGGCCCTGGTGAGCTTGAGCTCCACGTTGAAGACCCCATCCAGCAGCCCGCAGCCCAGGCAACAGCGGAAGGCTGCCTGCACCAGCTGTGCCTCCTGCTCCGGTGCCAGCCCAGTGGGCATGCAGGCCGCCGTCTCAGTGAAGCCAGGCAGCCTCGTGGGGCCATTGTCGGAGACGAAGGCGGCCAACAGTCGCCCACCATAGACCACCAGATCCACATCGTGCTCGGTGCCCTCAATGAACTCCATCAGCAGCATGGCATTCCCCCAGCCCAGCCCGATGCCGGGGTGGTCGGCCTCACCCTGCAGGTCGCGGGTGATCCGGGAAAAGTGTTCGTGGCACTGCGGTGCGTCCTCCACCAGCCGCACACCCACTGCGCCTGCCCCAAACTCCAGCTTCATGACACCCGGCAGGGGCACCTGGTGGACGGCCCTCTCCACATCGGCCTCACTCTCCAGCGGGCAGCAGGGCACGGCGTGGAGGGAGGGCGCGGGCCAGGGTGGGCCATGGCAGCGCAACAGGTGCAGCTGGGTGCAGCTCTTCTGCTTGGCCAGGCGCATGGCAGCCGGGGGGCTGCAGGGCAGACCCAGCTCCTGGCAGAGCAAGGCCGTGAGTACTAGGCAGTCGTCCCAGTAGGAGAAGCAGCCATCGAGCTGCAGGCCACGTGCCCGCACCAGTTCCGCCAGCAGCCGCGCATTCTCTTCGTCCCTCCGGTGCTCTGTCACATCAAAGTGGATGAAAGTCTGCACCAGTTGGGATGCAAAGTGGTTGGGATCCGACTCCACTAGGTGCAGCTGCAGAAACCACCAGAGGGCAACACACCCAGGTCAGCCTCTGCCGGACGCTGGGGAGATAGGATGGGGCCACGAACGTGGTTCTGGCCCTCAGAGGCCACGGAATCACCGGTTCTAAGTGCTCAAAAAACCATCTGTTGATGACTGACTAAACGGAAGGTGCAGAGATAACACACTTAACCCAGCCTGAAGGGGAAGGAAGGCATCTCAAAGGAGGCAATACTTCGGTCGGGAGCTGAGTAAGAATCAGCCAGAGGAAAGATGGCAGAGGGAAAGGGTATGATCTGAGTGGGCAGGGGCTGGAGCAAAGAGAGAGAGAGAGAGAGAGA